TCTTTAAATGTTATTAACACTTTTACCACTTTACCTTTTGGTAAAGTCCATACCCTTATCTCTGTAGTATTATATATATACAGGGTGAACCACGAATCGTGATCATAATTGTTTTTCATTTTCATATCATGACTAACATTCTCATGCTCGGTATTTCGGTCCCTCTTCTTCCTGTAACGGTTGGAAGGGGAAGCACAATTTTGTTTTTAAAGAATGGAAACAATTTACTTAAAAAATCAGTTTTTACATAATTGATTTCAGCGTAAAAAACGACATAAAAGTACATGATCTCAAATTTTTATCTCGAAAATTACTGGTCGTTGATTCTCACTTGGATGCCCCTCCCCCCTCTTTAAACCACACGAATGCCAAACGTTCTCATGAAAATATCCCCGTGCGCACGATCGAGGTGTATGTATATCCCCCTTGGCAACCCTCACGATGATCATTATGGAAGTTCATAATTGCTTTTCTTGAGAACTCTATTCACGGGGGCGGGTAGGGAGAGGGGCCTACAACCCGTCTGATGTGTTACGACCCGTGTGGACCGTAGGGCACCGGTTAAACTTTGTCCAAACATTCCGAGGGAAGCATCGTGCGTATCGAGTGGGTCTTGTTACCAGCCGCCCGTATAACGATCACTGAAAACAGCCCAGTGTGATCCTCTGGTGTTTTTCTTTCGTCGACGTATTACGAATTCTTCGTGACCAGATTTCCCCTTCAACGACGACAAGGTTCCGATGAAAATCGTTTCGGAATGTAAATGTTTAAACACGTATTATATTCGTCTCGGTGATTAATTCAGGGGACACCGCGATATCGATGAGCGAAAGTTCACGGCGTATATACTGGGTGACCCATTTCAAGTGATAGAATTATATCCTACACTGTTTGTTATAGAAAAAAAATCTTTCGAGCTAACCTACTTGGTTTCAAGGGGGACATCTACCTAAATAAAAACATATAATTCCATATAAAAAAAAAAAACAAAGATCACCTTGAAATTTCGAAGGCACGTCCACCTAGGTGTCGATTTGTGACCACTAACAAGACGTCCCCCTTGAAACCAAGTAAGCTTCGCTCCAATCATATTTTTCCTTAACAGTTCAGAAGATACAATTTTCCTCCGTACCATAACTTTCATCATTCCTTTGCAATCAATTCTTCATAATTCTTAAACGACATTCTCTAACTCGTTTGTCACTGTAATCACTTGAAAATTCGTCACCCTGTATAACACGTGGATAGAGATTTTCTCTGGCTTTTCGTCGGCGATCGTCCGTTCAGCCGACGCTCGAGGAGGATGAGAGGCGGTGGTTGGCCGGCGTTTAATTAACAAAAGTCCAGCGATACGTGGGGATCGCGTCGCCTTTCGGTTGAAAATCGTCGACGCGGAAAAGGGTATCCTCCTACCATCGCCCCCCCCACGCATTCGAGCCGCGTAACGGTGGTTGGAGCGGCGCGTGCGGCATTAATTTTCGAAACGAAATGATGGATTAGAGAAATGGAACACGCGTGATAAAGGAGAAATTAATTATACTCGTGTGTGTGTGCGGTGCCCACCGCCAATTTTCATCCCCCTCCTGGTATTTCGACGATTTTCAGTGCCTCGTATTGCACGTCGACGCTCGCGTGAAGTGGGCGAAGTCAAGGATGGTTTATGTAAAATTGATACACCGATAAATTCACGGAAAACCCGTGATCCTGCTCCCGTGGTTCGTTTTTTTTTTTTTGCGCGCGTGAAACCTTTTGAAAGATATTCAGTCGGTGTAATCCGATCTTGGACGCTCGATATACCCGACTAAACGACGAATTGGGCAGCCGAATAAAAAACTGATTACACCGTATCGGCCCGTAGAGAAAAAAGAAGAAAATACCCCTAACCCCCTCTGCTCGATTTCTTTCGCGGCGGTTCAGTGAATTTTGACGTTCGATCGGGAGAATGCAAGATACACGAGCGAATATTGGAAGGCGATTTAAGCTGATATTCTGGGGCTGTGAGGAAAAATGTTGCACGTAACCATTTCAAAAAATTCCAGTTTATGCATACACTTGGTTGTAGAGTGTTTATGTATTGATCAGAAAAAAATTTCGTATGTTTGAGATGTAATGGAATTTGAGCGAAGTTTGATATTCAATTCTTACGCATCAGGGAAAATATTAGTTACAATTTCACGAAATTCGAGTTTATGCATTAACTGAGCAATAGAATATTTATGCATTGATTTCACCAAATGATTTACCAAAATGCGAAAATTATTTTTCAAACTTAAGGAAAATTTATCGCGAAAGGACGACAAAAGTAATAATATGGAACGTATTGTAAATGGAAATTACATTAAAAATTTTGACCCCTAATTATTATTTCAGAAGTAAGTGAACAAATGTGAGTCACTGTACGGGAATTACTCGAACTTTTCGAGATTTCCTTTGATCGATAGCGGCTTTCAGCGACTCTTTGTTCGCACCGACAGTCAACTGTATGTAAATTGAACGGGTATTAATTAATTACGTCGACGATGGGCTCCGTCGGGGAGATGAATAAAACGATCGGTGAATATCGTAGTCTTTTTCCTCGTGTGCAACCACCGTGGGCTTTATCGACGCGAAAAATTCAACGAGGCCATTCCGTGACACGTTTTCCCGTGCTCGCCTTTCTATCTGTTTGCTACTTTTTTCTGTTCGCCGTCGTAAAACGGAGAGACTTTTTCGAACAGGACAGACGAGCAACATTCTATACCGATCTATAAATCGCCTTACATTATACCATTCCCATGTATGTACAGGGTGAGTCAATAAGAACTACTATCTAAAATAGCTCGTTACCCACTGATTTTATTAGGGAACGTTTTAATGAATTATGTGGCATTTTAATATAGATGTAATTTAATTTTTTTTACATCTTGTTCTGTTTTTTGAGATATTAAGATGACCTTGAGTTTTTTGAAGGTCAATACATCTTTTGTTTAATACCACATTGTTGACAATAGGGCAGGCCCCCTCTGGTCCCTACCTAGTTACGCCATTGGCGGGCAGGAGCAAGGCTGGTTTCGGCCAGAGAGGTGAAACGAAAAAGACGATATTGCAAAGAATAAATGGCGTGCGGGATCGGCGGATTGTATCGTTCGCAATTATATAGATGATCGAAAGCGCATATCTGTCGGTTCCCTGCTTTCATATTGCATCCACGTCGCGATCACGCTGCCCGGCGAGTGTAACTGCGTCTCGTATTACTATATTAATCCTTTTCCGTGTTTCCATTTATTCTCCGTTGTTCGCTATCCGCTCGGCCGGAAGTTGATTTTGTAATTATCTCCCCATTCTCGACCCGGTCACCTCCCTTATAGATACACACGGTCACTTCCGTTTATTTTAGCATCGACATCGCGAACCAGGGAAAACGAGGCGGGAGGAAATAACTTTACCTTGCGGCTGATTGATGGGAATCTAATTAAAAACTGTGGAATACTTCCTGCGTGACTCTTTCATCCCCCCTACCGTGTGTTCATTTAGTTCTTTCCTGATACGTTGAATCAACAATTACTAAATTACGGGGGGAAATGGAAATTTTGTCCTCCGACCGGAATTACCGTTCGGTTAGTAGGGGGAGTTGGGGGTCAGTGGAGGGAAGGTAATTTAGTTTCTATCCACCTCCCGCGGAATGGGAAAATTCATTATTTCGGCCACGGTTAAAAAGTCTTCCCATCCATCCCCCTTTCTGCCAGTTTCTTGTTTCACGATCGTCTGAATACCGTGGCGGTTACGTTTACCAGTTTCGCCTCGAACATTCATTTTATCCGCAGACGTTCGTCGCTGCGTTGCACAGCGGATCGGGGACCCGTTTTTCGAGGGCAAAATTGAATTTTTCAACCCTGCTTCTATAATATTAAGCTTCGTGGAACTTGAAACTCAGTTCTCTACGTTTAGAAATTAGTGGGGATGGAACAATTAAGAAGCAGAGGAACGGAGTAGCAAAACTCGACCGTTTCTTTCAACCGTCGAAACAGGACGCCAATACATTACCTTTTTCATCCGTCTGGCAGCAGCCCAAAAGGGACGCCGTCACTGCTAAGAACATTAACGGCCCCATGTCGTTCAGCAACATTAGGCTCTTCTTCCCAAGGGGGTTACGTCTCTTCCCTTTCTATCCTAGATCTTCCTTCTTCACTTCCACAGGAATTTCACAAAGATTTTCTCTACCTAGATACTACGTTCCGTGTCCCTTCTTCCTCTCGAACTCTTGTACGGTCTCTTGATAGAAGTTTACGGTGCGTAGAAACCTGGGATGGTAGCTCTGTGCACCTTGCTCGTGCCACTTAAGGGATATCGGGGTGTCCACGTGACGGGAATCACGGGCCGTCTATTTACAGGTGGGAGACCCGGTTAAGACTGGAACTGGTATCCTCCACCGTCATCCATTTTCACGGGGTGTCCCTCTCTCTGTGTGTGTCGTTCGTCACGCACAGCTTCACTGGGAAACTGGGAATCGAATAACCTCTAGTGACGACGTCGATGAGTCAACCAGACGACCAAGAGAACCACGATTGTATGCACACGATTCCTCCTCTCTCTCTCTCTTTCTCTCCGAGTCGTCACGCGTTTTGGTCAACATTCACAGAGCCACCGAGGTGCCTTTATTCTTGGCGACGAATCAGAATCCGTTGCCGTGTCGGTTGAACGTGGAAACGACGACGGTGGTTGGTTCTTTCGCATGAAACCGTAAAATCGAATCGTGCTCCGTTGAATATCGGTCGAACCACGACATCCAGGACGTTGTTCCGTTTGGTTCTGGCTGCGATCTATCCGTAGACGCGATCCTCCTGGCTGGCAGCATCGTGTGGGCACGTACTAGTTTTCCTGACCTGGCGACACTGTTCCTGAAAGGACACCACTACTATTCACCGTGCACAGGTGTGTAAAGCAACGGCCCTCGCACACGTTTCGCGCCACGGGGCGCGGTTTAATCAACGGACTGTGATGGGGGAGCATAGGGATTGGGTTTACGGGGGCTGATCGCTCTGGCTACAGGGGAAGAGGCGTTCAGGTTCAGACACATTTGCTTCGGAGATACTGCGGCGGTGTATACGAAGGACGGCTCATGGGTGATTTGAACGGAGGATTAGAGTGTTTGCAATACAGGGGTGGTTCGGAAAAGTCGAAGATTCAATCCCCTTGCCTTAGAATATCACAGACACATCATAACACTAGCATTGCATTCGAAACTTTGGGTTTCCTTAACACATTTGCAGCCAGTTTTCAGGCGAGACACTTATTGATTGGTCGGGGTTTTTCGTTAATATCTCGTTAAAAAGCTAAGGAAAAACTTGTTCCAAATCACCTCACCAGTGAAACATTTCAGGGGCCTACAACACTTTTGTTACACCCTTGTATTGGTACATTATTTGACAAATATAAAACACATACTGTAATATTTTTTCGGGGTATAGAACATATCCAAAATTGATCAGAATGAAAGTTGGAGAAAAAATTTGTCTGGTCCTTACAAGAACCACCCTAACGTACAGGGTGGTTCCGAGAAAAGAAGGGATAGTGGGCAGTGTTTTCGGAGATCGAAATCTCTGTTGATCGTGGCGATAAAGAGATCGTGTTTAGAATAATTTATGCGAATTGGAGTACCTACATATATTCTGCTCTCTAGAATACATTCCATCGAGAGGTGTGCGTGGTATTGAAATATCGAACTGAACACGGCTGTCGTGTGATTGTGGTTGATGGTCGTCTCGAGCACGATAATACGGTCAGTTAGCCGTTTAGATAACCGCAATTGTATTGTAGCTGGTTGTCGAACAATTCGTAATCACGATGAGGGTTTCACATGATTTTGATGAACCGTCGAGCGAGCTGTTTTTGAATTTCAATTTCGATCACTCTGTTTCGACGATCCCACTGTTTTTCTGGAGGTTTCGTTATGGTATATAGGAACTTTTGCACCTTTTCTTATGAACTCTGAGGGTTGATTTGTAGAAACGTTTGTACCCTTTTTATGAACTTTGAGGGGTGATTTTACTCCCTAAATATGAAATCGGGCCAAAATGACAAAAAAAAAGGGAATCTTCGTTATTTTTTGATCTTCTAAAACATATCCGAAAAGGATGCAATCCAAGGCGAATCTATGAAAATCCTTCTTTTTCAATGCTAACCAGCTAAATTTCGAAAATTTGAAACTTGGGCTATGGTAAATGAATTTTGTTCTTTAAATGGTGATAGCGAATTTGTTAATTAAGTATGCGAGGCGAGTTCTCATAACCGTCGTATGAACACACGTATGATGCAGTCGACCAGGCGTGCACGAAACGGTCGAATGGAAATTATTCGAATTTAAAATCGAATGTGTACGCAATCTAAAATAAATAAATGCGTCGCAATACGTAGGATATATTACGGCGACAAGCACAATATTAATAATACCGCGGGAGAAACGGGGAAATAATTTCTGATCCTATTTCGAGTATTACCTGTGTATAATATTCGTTCCATGAATTTGTCGAAATGATTTCACAGAAATCGTTGTTTCGCAATTCTGCGAAACATTCAGGCACAAAGTATGGGTATTCACGCGATGTATATTCAAAGCTGTAGAAAAGGTTGCCGAATTTGAACCATCGCACAGTGGTCCAGAATTAAAAGTTAGCAGCTCATACGCTTATTTAGCTCAAACAATAAAAACATGTTATAATTTATAATTTTATTTAAATGCCAATAGATAAACGAGAAAATTTTTCTCAATTCTAAGGATTTTCTTCGATAACGTGATCGTTCAATAACAATATTTTTTAGTGATTGATGATATGAAAGGGTCTGTGAAGACTAATAAGTTGTTTTTGAGTAATTGAATTGCTACATTATGATTCTAGACCACTATGCATGGCCTAGGTTGGCATACTACTGTCATGTGTAAGAAATTTTGGTCTTATGATAGACAATAATATGTGAAAGGGCCTTCTGCCATTTGGTTTTCGAAATTTCTGAAATTTATGCCAAGTCAACATGCATTTTGGCAGGCCCGAATTGCTAAATCAGTGCACTCGAAAGAATAGGAATCGTCACGATAAGAAAGTAAACGGGAGTCGGTGGATCTTTTCGGAAACTTTTTCACCGAGCTAACTACTCGGACGACACACTAACAACCCACGTGTTTGTTCCGCGACAGAATGTGTCGCGGCGGCGGGCCAGTGTAAACGTGCCCTTACCCCGCGACGACGTATCGTTCGACCGCTTCGATTCACTGGACGGTTCCAGCCACTTAGAGGACACTTGAAACCAGAGACGTTTTTCTTGCCCCGAGGAAAAGACGTCGTAAGAGTTCTTTCCTCGACGTGGACACTCCGCGTCCGCACTCTCCTCGAAACGGTAGTTCTTCCGTGAAAGCATCGACACACACCGGATAGTATCGGTTTCCTCGCGAGAAAATTAACCCTCAGAAGACTCACACAAAATTGTTCGTGTTAAGTAACAAGTTATATTTTATCCATCAAATCTGACGTCATTATTCTTATGTAAATTCAATAATATACAAATTAAATGTTATTCAAGCTTGTTATATAAATCTCCCAAAGGTATAATCTTGCAAAAAGTTATAAAAATATGTTGTACAACAAAGTTATATAACAATTTGTTATACAACACCATTTCTTTTGCTATATAGTGCAGACACAGCTTTATGCTAGCTGGATAGAATGTTACAAACGAAACAATGTTTCGTGATTATGGCAATTCCCACTGGTGTGATGTCTGAGGGTTAATACAGCGAAATTATTCGACCGAAGGGAAGCCATTCCTCGTCTAAAATTGACTCCCGTTCGCGAAACACCGCGAGCAGATCGAAGTTCTCCTCGAAACCTATTGAAATTCGCTCGAGTGTCTAATTCATTATACGTCTCGGTTAGAGACACGTTTTCCTCGTCGTCAATAGGGGGCAAACGGATGCAGTCGTGGTCCCCGGAATTTCATTTTCGAAAAGGAGCAATCCGCGTTTCTCGTTCGCTTCGCGTCCACTCGTCGTGTTTATGCGATCAAAGAAGAGAACTCGAGAGCTACCGCGCATTCGCAATGTCAACCGTGAACAACAATCACTTATCATACCCCACTGTCAATTCCTGACTGTTTATTTTTCAACGGGGAAACCATCGAGCCTTCTAGATCCGTTAAAAAAATTCGACGCTACTCTCTTCCTCCCATGGATGCTGGTGAAGTTGATCTTTTCGACGGTCTGTTACTTCAATTCTTTTCGCGTACTCGTAAAACAACGAGCAACGTACCCCAGGTTGGGCACCCTTGACATACCCTAATCCTATTACCTCCTTGCTTGCTTTGTCTCTCCTTTTTTTCGTATTCGTGTGGTTTACATTCACCACGTCAGGGAAGAGTTTCTTCACGGCGCGAAATCAGTAGAAGAAGAAAGTTTCGTGCGGACCACATTGCTAGGGCCCAACCAGGGTTTGGGTATCTCACCCTCTCCCCCATGAATCTCATTTGAAGTGACCGACATTCGACACGGTTGACGATCCTTGATACCGTGCAGGTAGGGATGGCAACGGTATGTATCGATATTTTGAAAACATCGATGCTACCTGCCGTTGTATCGATGTTTTGTCCAATCGATGTTTTCTGTCTACGTATCGATGTTTCGTCAAAATGGTGTTTTCTATCTACGTATCAATGTTTTGTCCAATCGATATTTTCTGTCTACGTATTGTTCTGTCAAATTGATGTTCTCCGTCTGTGTATCGATGTTTGAAAATAATTTGTCAATATACTGATTCTCTTGTGAAAATTTACTGTTCCTTCGATCCTGAACTCTGATCTCATTCTTTCGACCGGTAGTGTATTTCAAAAAGCTGGTTTGACGATAACGGAGAAATCGTTTGTCGGGAACGATGTTAAACAAACTGGTATTTTTAAACAGTTTACTCGAAAAATATTGGATGTAGGAAAACAACATCCACCAAGTAAACTAACCTCTAAAATGAAAATTTCGGTGGAATTAATTAAAAACCCTCTGACGTTGAACAAATTTACAAAGTATCTGTACAATTATAATATAATTACAATAAAAAATATAATTAACAAATACATGTCACGAAC